TGTAATATTTGCGTGTTTCCTATCGCCGACCGTTGGTATAATATCTTCAAATAACTTTATGGTAATATTAACGTTGAAGTATATTTATTATTGGCGTTATAAACACATTTTTTTTTAGAAAAAAATTTCAAATAAAATTTTGGGATTAATTATACACATATTTTTATATTATGAAGATTATTTATGAATAGATGAAACTGTGATAATTTTCGATAGTTTTATACGATCTAGGTATTACGAACGTGAGGATTTAAATAGAAGATAATTTTAATCATTTGAAATAGGTACGTTAAGACTTTATAAAAAAATAAGATGCTTCCAATCGAAAATAGTCTGTTAATTTTAATAGGAGTGGTGAGGAACAATAGGTAATAATTGATATCCAGTGACAGTGTGCAACGGACTTTGTAAAAAGACCGATAACATCAGGCTGCAGCTTCTTAATAGTATGTTAACTTATGTGAAACAGATAAATAAATATAATTATTATTATTTTAGTTGCCTATATTTCATAGACCCATGAAAGAAATTAGTCATGTTTAGATACAGTGTGAGCAATGGATAAATGTCCGCAAAGCTAGTAGTTACTTAAAACGGTTTTAAACAAGGAAGCGCCATCCTCTTTTAACGCAGAATGCGGTATTCGAGTGTCACAAATAACCAGGTATAGAATTATCCATTCATTATAATTTTGTTCTGTAGTTTTTTGGTGAAGAATTGACAAATATCCAAACCCACAAACTCTCGCCTTTATAATAATAATAGGTTACACCACCATCAGCCACAACCCATAATTTTTATTGACCCTTTTACAGAGCCAATTTTATTGACCCTTTTACAGAACCATTGGATATTTATTTAACTTACAGATTAATGTTTCCTTTTTCATTGCATAGAATTAGTAGAAGTTAATGCGATTTGATTTTGAAAACGAAACCCAATCTCAAGGGATGGACAATGAGCAAATTGTTAGATCTTTTTCCTCTAAAGATTTTTATCTGTTAACCGAATCTAAAATGTAGAGACACACGATACAATTCCAGCTAAAATAGAACTGGAATTGTATCGTATGTCACTTTATAGAATAGGAAAACCATTAAAAACTGTAGTTTTGTTCGGTTTCGATCCGTTTTCGATTCGATTTAAACAAAATTTATTTAGTAGAATTGGCCCCCAGGTTGTAGCGAGCATACTCACAGAAAACAGAATGGGCATACTAATTCGCATTAATAATTATTGGAGCTCGATTTAGATAATATCCGATCACATTTCTAACTTAACTAAAAGTTGTTTACTGTTTTCTATACAATAATATCGAGATAAAATGTGTTTTATACGAAACTTACTTTTCCCGCGTTTTACCGTACAATTTTAGTCTATGTCATCAGCGTATGATCCGATTCCGTAGATTAAAGAATTTTTAACTTCGGTCCATTAATCGCAACAATTACAAAAATCAAATCTTTCCTCTTTATAATATTAGAACAGATATGTGATTTAGGAAAAAAAAAATAAAAACATTTTTCGTATACTCCAACGCTCACTTTTGCTATGAAGAAAAAACAGCCACGAAAAATAATTCTTCAGAATTGGGCAAAACGCAAATGATGAAAGATTTCAATTTCCCATTTTCTATGATAAGTAGCTACCTATTAGGGAAGGAAAGAGCCGATCATTATCATCATCAAACACCCATAGGCACTCCCTCCCTTATAACATCAAAGGGATTTAAAACATATGAATACATGTAAATCAGTGGATCGTTTCGTATTTTAGTATCATTATATGGAACACATATTCATTTTTGGTTCTAAAATAGTTCGTTTATGGCTCTTAAATAAAATATTTTTAGAGAACAAGCCATTTTTTAATAAGTTAAATCAAATAAGCGTAGTATACTTTTTAAAGACCATATTTTAATTTATTTAATATCGTTTTAGGATACACATATTCATGTTTTGTCTATAATGGTATAATTGGATCTTAAGTTAAAAAAAATTCGAACACATGGTATTTTAATTTATACATTTTTTCAAACTCATGGATATTTTATTTTCTAAATCATGAACTTGAATAACTAAGCTTCGAATGCTATATAAAAATAAAACTTAAGTAAGGTAATTTGATAAATTCAGCATTCGTAGCAACTTTATTAATTTTTTAAATATAAAAGTGCTAATGATACGTCTTAACAGCTTACCTATTTTCATTAGCATTCATCAACAGTCTATGTCACCACTGCCGGGGCTTAGGCCTTCCCTATGGGTGAAATCAAATTAAACAGGGAGAATAGACTATTGCAGACGCAGCCTGGACCAACGGCTTAAAGTGCCTTCCGAAGAGGAGCTCGAGATAATAAATGTTTGATCATCCACCCTGACTGGATCTTAGAAAAGTTGCTTAGCAACCACATCGTACACCGAGAGTGCTAACCATTCCGTCGTCGAGCTTACCAATTACCAATACATAATCATCTCTTACTTCGATCTAATGTATCATTGAAACAAGCAAACCAGAAGCTATATTTATATTCATTCACTAAACTTCGTTTTAAAACGCCACACAACGGAGTCTCTATAAATATCTTTCAATTATCTTCTTTCATTCATATATACCTAATCGTTCCATAAATCAATCTCTGACATCTTTAAAAAACTAACCTACCTATTAATAAATAAGCTACGTAATATGATTTTTGTGAATGTCATTACTTTCATTAGAGCTGGTGAGTTTCTTGCTCAGTCTTCTTA